TTTTTTGTTGCACTCAATTTATAAACACTTACACACTTGCTAACATAATAAGGTGAGAGTTGAATTTCATAAAAATGTTAAACAGTAGCTTAATCGAAAGGTCCTATTAAAGCTGAAAAGTTGTACAAATTTTATGGGAGTGGAACACTAACCACGCAAATTAAACTGAACACAGAGGTAAAATGTAAATTTGAATACAGATCTCGAAACTCAAGAATATCAAATGAATAATATAGTTACTGCAACAATACTTCCACAGTCTTTCACATTCATCAAACTAAAGCACCTAGGTGTATTATTCAAAACAAAAGTGGGAAGTTCTTCATAAGATTGCCGTTAAGAACAAAATTGAACTGCGAATGTTCACGTCGAGATTTGTAAAGGTCCTTGCATATTGTATGAGGTTTTCTCGAATCGATGCGCCTAAAAAAAGGGAGGCAAATTTAATTTTCGTCTCGGCTCGCAGCTTGTAGTTAATGTGACATAGGAAGAATTATCTTCTCCAACTCTTATATTCAGTATTATTCAAGAGAACACTAACTTTGTTTCAGCGTGACATCGCGTTTCGCATTCGTTTATTTTTTATAACCTTTTACATTTACGTAAAAGGGTCTTTTGTATTTTAGGTTTGCGTTTTGTGCACGTCAGCCAGGTAATTGATGACTGTCTGAGTTTGTATTTCAATGGTACCTGAACTTACTTTGACTTTGGTTACCTAAAGTGGACCTAAAGTTCAAATTTTGAGATCTACTTATAGCTGTGACTTACGTATTTTTCTTTATTTAAAGGAATATTATGCGTTACTCCCTTTAATATTAGCTATGTACCAGCGAAAGCCTCGTGTAAATTAGTCTATCCGTTCTGGACATTAGTCGAAAAAGAAAAGAGTTTCATTCGAATTCGAGTTACTTGATTAGGAACTTTTTCAGTGGGTGCTTCTATAGTGTGTTGTATTTAAGGTCTTCTAGAGAATCGCCTGAATATATATCTGCTTCTTTTAGAGGACCAAAGCAGAATAGCACTGTTGTGTTCAGTATTTTGATTTGATTTTTGACAGTTGGAGACAAAAATTGATAACAGCTTACGAAAAGGCTGTTTCTACTAGTCACTTTGGTTACATACAAACTTTCATTAAAGTATTAATGAATAGTTTTCTTTTGTAACAAAAGTATCACTACTTAATAAGGCCTATAAAGTAGACTAGACACGTTAAGTTTTACTAGTCTACGACGGAACAAGAAATGTAGATAATTCTATTCAAATGTCGAGTTCAACATATACAAGGGAGCGAAGGTGTTGAGGAAAGTATAAAATTTCATTTTCATCTCACAGTTAATATGACAGGGGAGAGATCACCGGCAATGCGACCCCTTATTTAATAAAGTCTCAACACTATTTCCATGTTTAGGTATATTCTATTCTTAGGGAATGAAAGCATTGTGATTGCAAGTATAGCACGTTACTTATGACATTAATTAAATTTCGATTATGAGAAAAATATTGTTTTGGTTTATTCGATTGACCAGTATAGTGGTAACTTTCATTATACAGTCTTCCCAAATGTACATAATGTAGAAGTTATCACGTAATTTTGAAATATGTGGCACGTTGTAGTCACTTTCCATCAGGTGACGTATCTACTCGTTTGCCCCCCTTTTTTTATTTTTCTCTGAGGAAATCCCCTCGGATACCACTTACCGGTGGTAATGTCGGACTCGAACCGACTAAAACCGCACGCCGTCTCAGGTACCAGTATTCGGGGAACCAGGTGTACCCTAGAAAGGAAATCCCTGGTGCCCCGACGTACCTTGGGCCATCTACGGCGGCCCCTGTTCCCTCTGTGCTCCCGGAAGGGCGCACGCGCTTCGCAACGCGCTCGCTTGCTTCTGCTAGGGTGACAACTCGTTTGCCCCCTAGATTATAAAATAAACATATTGTTTGAAATAACAAATGATTTTTAAAATGTATTGAAATAAATATTTTCCTGTTTTATTGCGTGCATTATATTTACGTCCCTACTCTGAAAATCATTTCGTCGGGGATTCTCAAGGCAATCAAAATGACTTGCTCTAAGCTCCATTTAATGGGCAATGACGCTACATGTACGCAACAATGCTTAGCATTTATTTTTATTTATTTTTTTTATATGAGAGGGAGCAAGGAAGCAGACGGGGCACCTGATGGAGAGTGCACCATATACACCTACAACTCAGAAGTCACAAGTCTCATTTTTCTTTGGCAAAATCTAGTCATTTTTCTTTGGAAAAATCTTTTAAAGATCATCGTAGATGAGCTATAGATATACCTACACATACGTAGGTATGTCTATAGCTATGTGTAATCTGTCTCCACTCCCTATTTCATCATCTTAACTTATGTTTGCCTGGGATTTTTACTGTGTGTGTCCCTGAGCCAAAATTTATCACATTAATCAGTTAAGTCGTGAGATCGTAAAGTTTAGGAAGTCAGGGTTACTTTTTCATTCATATCTAGTATGAATAGTGTTTTACAAATTTTATAAGATTATATTCTGGAACATTAATAGCAGATTGAAAACTCTATTGTCATGATTATTATTTTTGTACATGTTGCACAAAAATAATAATCATGACATGTACATGTACATGTTGCAAAAAAATAATAACCATGACAATATAAATCATTACCATTATTTTTATATAAAAGAATACACCTACAGAACCACATTAATATATAAATATACGCTTACACAGTAAGTTTGACTTTTATGACGACAATAACATTTTAGTTTCAGTAAGGCAAAGAAATAATATTGAGGCGGAGTGCGGTCGAAGTGCTTGCGGGGCTACTTATTGCAGAGGAACCATTAAGTCCTTTGTGGTCAGGTGCTATTTGAGTTTCAGTAATAGGCTTATTTAATACAGCTTTCCAGTTCGAAAAGGAAAAGCGGTAAATATTTTCTGATATTGGTATCGCTTTGATAATTGATGTACATTTTTGGTGGTGTATTAAATTTGAAAGCGATATTATAGCCACTTATATTATTACAGTCGTAAATGTTAAAACAATTTTATTGATGTAATTATTATTATTAATTGTCTATCATAAATTGACAAAATTAAAATAATTACATTGATTCTGCTTAAAATAAGGCAGTATATAGACAGGAAGTTTTGGCTATAGTTTGCCGGTTAGTTTGATCACATCTGCACTGAACGATAACTTCTGCAGAAAAGCAGAATGAGAAATAATCTTTAAAAAAGACAACTCAGGCACTAGGAATAAATCCTGTGCCGCGGAAGATTTTACAAACATACGAGAAACGGACACAAAGAACACCCAGACTCAGAACAACAATTTGTGGATCACAGAAAGTGTTGTCCCATGTGGGGATCGATCCCACAACATGACCTGCCTGACTGATTCATCAGCGCAAAGCCTAAACCGCTGGGGCTACAAACTTGACAGCGGATGCTATTTAAGTTGGAAGCACCTACTAAGAAAGGATTTCTGGAAATTTCACCCCTAAGGGGGTTAAATAAGGGATGTGTGGGTTTATGGAAGTTCGTCATTTTCATAGTTCTAACTTTATATACTTCAAGTTCTAACACGAAATAAGCGAGCGAAACTACGGCCCCTGCCAATAACTAGCCACGAATATTTTAGTAATTATATTAAAGCACAGGCGCAAGCAATTTTCTTGGGATTTTCTACTTGAAAATATATCATAATAATAATAAATAAAAATATATTTATTATTATTATGATATATTTTCAAGTAGAAAATCCCAAGAAAATTGCTTTGAAAATCGCTTTAACTTGAAAATATAATTATAAAATTTTATACTCTTAAATTTAATAAGAAAGGAAAACGTTTTATGCATCTAAACTATGTATAATAAAATTGATAAAAAAATTAAGACTACAATAAAGTAAAATTAATCAGACTTTAGTATACCTAATAAATTGTTATGTCGTAATAACAGAAAACAACATAACAAATGAAAAGGCCAAGTCCGTATAACAAGGCAGGCAACAACGTATTAATAATTTGATATTTACATATATATCTAAAGTAATTAATGAAAACAGTTTTATTGTTATGTGTCTGTTTATATTGCTACGGATCTCGGACACTTGTAATGAGCACAAATAATTAAAAGATATTTAGGAAACAATTCTATAGAAGCAATTAAGCTTAGTGGGAGGGGTTAACGGGAATACTAGAAATTTCGGTACCTAGTAAAATAAAAAATAAAAACAAATTGTACAGAGAAAAACAAGTTCCATGTTTCACTGTTTTATTTTGATAGGTTTATCTTCCCTCACGTACACGTAATATACATTATTAAATACATCACCGTATATAAAAGGATGAGTCCCTAAAATGTTTTCAATATGCAAAACAAAAGCTTTTTCACAAAATCTAAACTGACATGTCAAAGAAAAGGGCATTTTCGTTCATTTTCTTTTAGAGACTGTGGTATATACTTAATCCCATTTATATAAGATGCTATAACAAAAGTAGTAAATAGATAGAAAATGTATATAAGAAGTTTACTTTGGAAGATAGATACCAGATCTATACAGTACAATTTCAATGTTGTCACTGATGTACGCATAAATGACAAAAATATTAAAAATGGATGCAAGTCAGTTTTCATACTCATCACAGAGGAATCAGAAGTGAGAACACTTCCTCCGGACTAGCTGTTCAAAGGCCACATTTGATCACAAATGATATTTAATATCTACTTTTTTTACAGAACTTTTCATACAATTAAAAAACATAACAACTACACATTGTAGCTGCAATCTTAAAAAGTAAATAGATTGTGATGCTTATTGATGACTGTAATCGATTGATGCACGTCTAATTTTGTCACTTCTGATGTTGGGTAAAATATGTATAGACGAAAGGAAAGCTGAAAGATTTAAAACAAGAACCGTTCTCATTGAGTGATTTCGACGTTTCGTTTGTTAAGACGGCAAAAATAATTCAGAAAATAAGTTAGACTTACCGTTATCGGCATTGTCTCTGTCCGGCCCGCTGTCATGTTCGGATTCTGACTCGTCCCATATGGTATCAGTGGCGATTTTCTGACGCGAACATTCGACCCAATAGCCAGGAGTAGGGATCAAGCTGTGCGGGTACTCTTCGCAGAATTCATCTGGAATAGAAATGCTTCTTAGACACATGGAATATTAAAAAATAAATTGTTTTTTTTTTATTTGGTGTCTCACAAAAAACTACAATGCGTATGGTATACTATGGTACTATGTAAGTTACTGAGGGGCCACAACCGGCATCAGTGAAGTAAGAAACTGAGTTTCCTCGGTAGTATAAACATTATAATAGTTATGATGTCTTTCCTAGAATGTCTCTACTAGTGACTTAGCAAATTTAAAAGTTAGATTGCCGCTAATTTGCTAAGTTACGTAAGTAAGATGAGTTAGGCAAAATCTAATTACCACATGGCAACAATTTTTAAAAACTAAAAGTGTATAGTTTTCTTCAAAGATATTTGTAATTATTGTTATATTATATATATTAGCTTTATAGATGACTATATTATAACTACTACTACTGTACCCGTAGTAGCTTGAAAATAAAGAATTGACCTAAATAAAAATTACGATAAAAATATGAATAAATTCAAAGCAAAAGCTGGTGTTAAGGATACAGAATTTTATTTTATTAATAATTTGTACTGATTTTTCCGTGGAATAAATTTCATTATTGTTGTGAGAAGACTCCCCATCCGAGCCCTTTTATTGCCTATTAATTTATTTCGCTTCGTTAAGTGCGCGTTTGAGCGTAAATCAAGACTGAGTTTTCATAATTACAGAAGTTAGTCTTATTTACCTTTAAAAGAACCAATATTTTTTATAAGATATTGAATAAGAAAGTGGTTAAGTCTGACCTAGTTTAGATGAAAAAAATCAATACCTTGTCGAATATCTTTGTTTAAGCAACTGATTAACCATTGAAATGTAATGTTATTCTTTTAAACCAAGCGAAGCAATTTATATTAATACTTATGTCTAACTTCTATATATATAAAGTAACATTGCATACATGGATTCGTTTAAAATTACTGTACTCTACTATAAAATATCGTAAATGGTAACGTCCTTTTCATGAAACGTCATAATTGACATGGTAACATGATAAGTTTCAGTATTTATTATTACCCGTCTGCACTCCATAACGCTATATAATGTCTTAAAAGCTAGGTATGGTAACCTGTTGGGAACGACACCTTTTATGTCCGTGGGTAATTAATTTATTAAAAGTATTAATGGAAAAATGGTTTGAATGTCATAACGACGCCCAGCATCATTACGACGTATGTCAAAAGTCAGGTGCGTTTAGTATTATTTGATTAGATTAATTTATCAAGCAGTTTGATCATCAGATCTGCAAATGTATAGCCATATTCGAAACTGAATAAATGAATTATAAGATTAAATACTGTTTTTAAGATGAAATCACCTTAAGTAACAGAGAGCAAAATGAGGTTGCATAGATAACTGAATAAACTTCCTAATACAACTATTTTAAAATACTCAGTAATGCATATTACATGAATATTGAGCAAACAAGCGCTGCCGTTTATATTAATATTTATAGATTTATCCTTGCGAAGGAAATCTGACGGCAGGGCCTGTCTGTTAGATATGAATATAATATTTACATCGGGAAAAGAGCCACAGTCCGTGAACCACAGCCGCTTAAGTCGTCTTGACTTTACCAACGGAAATAAATATTACCTACTATATGGCCCGCTTTATTAAATATATTATGGAAACGGTGAACGATTGAAAAGTTGCGGTAAGTGAGTTTTTGCTAACAAAATATTCGCGTCAATAAAACAACTCCCTGAGTATGGTCCCTGTTATTTTTTGTAAAAGATATAGCTTATTAACATACCTTTTATTTAAACTTTTACGATCTTTTAACGACGGGAAATTAAAATAACATGTACATTTATATTATATTAAAAAACATCTGTTTTCTAAAAGGATAAACTGATGTTAACTTTTCATACCTCCCTTATAACAGTTTTCGTGTACGATGACCTTCCACAGTCGCGATGGTCGATTGGCGCTCAGTTCACTGTAAGGTAGAACACCAAACTCTAATCAATATGCTTGGCGTTCATACTTAGAGTGTACCGAACTAACCAAAAACTTCTTCGAAGTCTGCAGACGAAGTAATCTTCAGGTCTTGAAGTTTCTAAATAATATTATCTAAAACTACTGTAACAAATATTGCTGAAGTTCTAAATTTAATTTTTAATAATTGGTAATACACTAAATGTAATGTTCTATGATATTGTTATTTTCAAGATACTCCAAAGTTGAACGAATATTTTGAAAGAGTACTTCAGATAGGAACACTATAATTGTATACACTTTCAATTGCTTTATTTAACGTTTGTTGTAACATTTGAATTCAAGGTCTATCACTGCTTGGCACAGTTTTCAGAGAATTCATATGCCAATAAGTATTAATATTATATTTATCTATTTTGAAAGTATATCATGAGGGAACCAAATTCAATTACAAAAATCACTTAAATTCACTTATTTACGAATTATCGTTAAAATGTACAAATAATTGAACTTATTGATAACGAGCTGTTTTCAATCCAGGCGTGATATTCTATTTAATCATGCTCAAATTTCAACATTCAATTGTCAACGAAAACACACCGCTAAAATTGAAAGTATGTAAGATAATGCAATTTTAAATAAATGTTTCTAGGCAAAATTGTCCAAGTCTAGTGTATACTAAAATTTACTAGTAAAACCTAAGATATACCAATACAATGCTTTTACAATAACATTTATAAATCTGTAAAACTGCAATCGATTAGTAAATACAAAGAAATTATATCGATATGTCTTCAGAATGGGATATTGCAGTAATCGTTTTTTTTTCAACTTGTCAGAACTGTCAAACTGCTCTTAGATTAGATGGACTTTTATTTAGTTACATTCAATAAAACTTCCATTTCCATTTATATGGCGTTCAAGAATTATTTCTATTTTTTTTTGGCACTTGACATCAAGTCTTCTTTATAATAAGACATTTTGCTCAAATGGCCTCAATCAATTCGTTAAGTTCATGAAAAATGTTCTAAATAAATACACTTTTATATCTTCTACAATCTACATCAAATGAACAATATGCCATGTGTTTAGCCGTATTTTTAACAAAACTTGTCACCACGTACTTGCTAATAATTCTATTGACAGTTTATAAACACAAATTTAAGTATACATTTTTAGAATGTATTTAAGACGATTCTTAAGTTCCTAATTAATTACTCAGGCTAAAGTACATTATTTTACCGTGTTGATTATCTCAGATCATCGACAATTTCTTAGTTGTTGTCTTGGTCTTAGATGACTTAGGTTCTCTTTGCATAATTAAAATGTCGAAGTTAACTTTACAGTCAGTACAATGAAATAGTGATTAGAGGTCTATTAAAATTATTCAATGTAAAGATTGAAGGATTATAGGTAAAATAAATGGATTGGGTAGCTTTAATTATTTTATTTTGGTAATAATTCAAGACAACAATATACTTGTGTTAGCGGTGGCGGCGCAACAAAAATGAACGGACAGGTAACATTAGATGACCGATAGGTGGCACTAGTCACTCACGCACTTCGTATTAACATAACAACGATAGTTGTAATAATATAATAGGCAGCAAAAAAAAAAAAAACTAGCGAGCCTCTGAAATCGCCCCAACAACGAGAGAGTCTTACAGGAGTCGCATATTATGATGTATGACACCTGATATCTCACCATGATAAAAAGCAACATTACCAGTATATCCTGAAAAAACAATATTCAGGTATCGTTTCATTTGATTTTTAACGAAAGATAAATCTTTGTAGTGTAAATTGGATTTACACAGGAGAAAAAATGACAAATTTAAAAATACAATAAAAAACTTTTACGAAATTTTTATTGATCAGTTAACATGAGTTCGCTTAAATAAATCTTAATTTTGTTCCCAAAATAATATTCTCAAAATGTCGCCGGGTACCCCAGCCTCTGCGCGGACTGCGTGTCGCCCTTCCTTTAATAATAATAATTAATATTTTTTATAAGTAACAAATTATATTTCTTTTTTTCTTGACACATCTTTATTGTACAAAGATCAGTCTTTTCAATTTGCTTTTAATCTCTTTAATCCAGAAAGTTAAAACAAGGGAAGTACTTATCTACGAGTAAGATTGATTTTATCGGATTATTTCGATGAGACTGTCTGTGTTATAGGTAACAGAGGGATTAAAGCTTTTTTTAACTAATTTAGAATTTTGAAACTATTACCGTTGATTTAACTTTCCTTTGTCTCTAGTAGAGACTTACCAGAGAAGTAGAAAAGTGACATTTGGAACCGTATATCGTATCGTATCGTATATCGTATATATCCAGACGTCGATCAAGAGAAAATCATAATTATCAGATTGATTCGTGATTTACTTTTTATGAAGTAATCAATAATTATGTATATAATAAATATTACAGTTAGTCTACTCCTAAAATATATTGACAGAAACGTATTAAAAACATTTAAATCGTTTATTTACACTACTCTGTTTCAAACAATTGCAGTGTTGAATCATTTATAAAGTGCCGACTAATTACCGTACTAACCTTAGGACTAGAAATAAATACCATGATTAACTATGGATTTGGTCAAAATCAAACCAAAAGTTATTAAATCATAATATTTTTGCAAACTCCTATACAGCTATTGGTATTGGTTGTAGGCTCCGATTGAGAGAGTGGTCCTTTATGCGTCTAGAAGAGGTTAGCTAGGTGAGCCAACCAAGCTTCTTCCAGAAACACAGAAGCCTCCTGGGGCGTTCACAGGCTTCTACGAGCGATTTGTACCAAGATTTCAGGCATCCTCTGCAAAGAGGACTGTCCGCTGCATTAATGATGGATAGTTGTCGGTTCAGGGCTAGGTGTCTTGTTATGGTTCCTGCAACTATTCGGATACCTAGTCTGCTAAGACCTACTCAGTCTGCAAGTAAGTCGTGGTGAGATTTCAGTCAGCACCAATCCGGGTGAGTATTTCGACCTTCGGTTGTGCGCTTCACGAGTACGCTGTCTAACCCAGGATTGTAGTTGGTTAAAAGG